GTGAAATATTATAATAATAATAATAATAATAATAATAATAATAATAATAATAATAACCGATTCATAGCTAAAGATGATAGGAAAAAATTGGTCAGAATGCGTCGGTGTCGAAATTCAAACAATTTTTACCAAAAATGGGGGATGAAAATCATGCACTCACTTCTTGAACTGCACGGAATACGCGTTCTTCATGCGAATCCATCTCCGTGAACGTACGAATTTGAGAAATATTCACATCCTCGCGATATCCCAAAGCTACGATCTCATCGAATGCAAAAATCAGCTGGAATGCGTTGTTCAACACATCTGCTTCATCTGTGCCGCAAGCATACTCGGGGATCTGAACGACAGATGAAACACAATGCACTCATCTGTTGAGGTTGCTTTTCCTAGGCATAAGCTAACTGATAAGCCCAATATTATTACCATATCGGTAATGTTTAACTCAAAAGTGATTAGGTGATGTGGTTAGACGACCGCTTACATAGAACCGGAACAACAACGAGAAAAAGTAGCAGTAACAAGCCGGCGGCCTCCCGTAGATTTCTAGTATTTAAAAAAAGACATTACTACTACTAATATAGTTCTACCTCGGGAATAAGAAATTGCAAGTTTGGGAGTGTCTTCAAAAGAGCTTTTCCACAGAGAATTAACAACAACAGATGTGCTGATCATGATACGCTGTACATATTTACCATACCGCAGCTTGTTCGCAATTGTTGTCTCACGGTGAGGGGAGATACAAGATGATACACGTTGACGCAATCATACGATTAACCGGGTGGAGATAAGAGATTATATTATGTTTTCAATTCCGGCCTAGATTCCGAAGAAGGCATTGGTTGGTTGGTTGGTTGGCTGAAGGCACTCGATGGCAGGGTAGAGAATAGACTGCAATAGTGTTCTGTTGTTATTTCTGTGGTTCTCCCGTGGACTCCATTACTAACTTACTGAACCAGATCTGATCAAGGAAGTATGCCGCATCGTTCAAGGGCGAATCATTGGTTGTCCCAAGTTTCAAGAAGGAATGTTGCAAAAACTAAACAAACAGCAGGATAATGCAATACAAATCTCAATTACAGCTCGGGCAATGGATTTGAGACGAACAAGCTTCGAAGAATCTTTGTGATAATTCTGTATTAGGTGTTGTTTATTAGATGCGCCTAACTTCAGTCAACTGGACGCCAGGGTGAAAGTGACGCAAACTAGGACTCGGTTTCGGCTATTAATATAAAGGGATTGTAATAATGAAATAAACTGCTCGGGTACATCTTTCAGAGCGAGGCAACGCCAGAGTTTAGAGCGGTCAACTGAGTCGAAAGCAGTTTTCAGGTCGAAGAAGATAGAAACGGTGGGTCCAAGAAAAGAGTGTGTTTGTACTAGAATTCGACGATGAGTAAAGATGTGGTCTATATAAGCTCGACCAGGTCTAAAACCAACCTGGTTCTCACGCCTGCACTCTTCACGTGCGGCAGACAATCGACGGGGTATGATACCGCCGAGTAGTTTAGAGGTAATGTTTATTAAACTAACTCCTCTGTTGTTTTCCCAAGAGGATCTATCGCCTTTCTTGTAAGTCGGTATGATCACCGATTCACACCATTCAGTTGGAACCTCTTCCCTGTTCCACACTGAGCCCAGGAATCTCATTAACTCCAAACCCAAGGCTGAACCTACATCCTTAAAAACCGATGGGGACACCCTGTCCGGACCGGAAGTCTTATACTTGCTGTGATAATGTACGTCTCGGGTAACCTCCATTTCAGATGGAGGACTGATGTAAACTGGAAGTATTGACCCAGTTGAAGCAGGTCTAGGGAGGTCTTGTGTCGACGAATGCCAGCTGAACTGTGCCTTAGAATGTTCTGCTCATCAATTTAGATTGTGTTGCCGAGTATGAAACAGTGTGCTATCAAACTCCTTAATCACCTCACTTACACCTACTTTCCTTGGACCCGTACTCCTAATTAAACGAAAAAGATTGCGACTATTACTGATAGCCGGAGCCTTCTCCATCTCTCTGCACCTTCCTACCCACCACTTCTCGCGGTCATTCCTCATACTCTTGATGAGTTGCCGTTTAAGGGATTTGCGGGCTTTGCCGTATTTCTCATCAGACGGAATGGCTTTGGGATCGCCGAGCAAGGTCACCGAAGTCGGGGAGATCCATCGGTTTTGCTCTGATCATGCGCCAGAATCCGACATTGTTTTGATTGACATTTGGATCGCATCCTTGATTACCGTTCAGTGTTTACTGCGTCCTTCGGCTGATGACTGAGCTGAAAGGCGATCAGATAATTTCGCTTCAAAAGCCGATTTGCAATTATTGCTGACAGTGTATTGTAGGCATCTGTTCACGGTGGCTTTTCTGCAGTCTTTTATTCGGTGAATCTCGTAGCAGAGCATGGTCCGTATCCGTCAGTAGGCCCCAGGTAGCCCACTCCGATGTCCATCTAGCGGGAATTTTTGCACTATAAACCGCCTCTCTCCATGTTTATTTGTTAAATTGACCTCTCCAGTTAAAGGAAGCCAGGTGCCCAAGCAGTCGGCCTTGTAAGACTGAGCTTGCCTGGCGTCTACCCATTGACCTTCCAGGCGTGACTGCATCTGCGGCTATGAACAGCCATCCTGTATGGCTCGCAGAGTCGTGGAGGCACGAAAACCATCACACCTCATCAGAGTGCAGTCTTGTCGTGATGGTGTAATAGCCACCAAGACCTACTAATCTGATTTGCATGTGATAATGAATCCTCCACCGAATCATTACCAAATACTCAACGTCAAATCAGATTAGTAG